TGTTCAACCACTTTGGAATGCAGTATGCAGGTTCCTCAAAAGACTTCACATAGAGCTCCCCTATAACCCAGCAATCCCACTTTTGGGCATTTACCCAAATATTCACAAACAAGACCACACTAAAGCTACCAGCACAACTATGTTTATTGCAGCATTATTTACCATAGCTAAGATATGGAACCAACCCAGATACCCCACAGTAGATGAATGGATCAGGAAAATGTGGTATATATACACAATGGAATTCTATGCCTCCATCAGAAAGAATGACATTGCCCCATTTTTCAGAAAATGGAAAGACTTGGAAAAAATTATAAGTGAAGTAAGCTAGGCCCAAAGAAATATAGGTCCCATGGTTTCCCTTATTTGCAATATCTAGTAAATGTATGAGTCAAGCAGAAAAAGTCAGATAATGTGATGTTAGGAAAATGAACCCTTAGATATGTATTTAAATTTTTTCTTTCATGCATTTGTTTCTAACTCATTTATAAGATTATTTCTTTGTTGCTTTGTATGTCCCTCCCCCACAGTATATATTTGATGTCGGTGTAATTTGTGGAGGAGATGGGGAAAAACAAGTCGTTTAAGGATACAGGTGGACCCATTGCAACTATGAGAAGTACAAGTTTTCATGTCGAAAAGGAACTTTACAATTTGGTGGGAGGGGGAAATTGGGTGGGGGATGGGGGGAGGCTGGGAAGGGATGTGAAGTGTAAACAAAGGAGGAGGCTGCAATGCTTGATAAGAAATATACTCATTATCTTGCTCATGTAATTGTAACCCCTCTGTACAGTATGTTCACAAAAAATTAAAATTAAAATTAAAAAAATGCTGCAATTTAGCTGTAGTTTAGCCATTCTCTTCAAACGTTTATTGCTACTTTGGGGCATTTATCCAAAAGTCAGGATATAATATACAGTAAACATCTTGCACAACTGTGTTTATATCTGTACCATAAGCATAGCCAAATTATGTGCACAAATGTCCTTCAATTGATGAATAGATCAAGAAAAGATGATAGATAGATAGGTAGGTAGATAGATAGATAGATAGATAGACAGAGAGATAGATAGATAGATAGATAGATTGGAATCCCACCTGGAAAAGTGATATTAGGTCATTTTTAGGGAAAATGGATTGACCTGGAGAAATAAGTCAGGCTCAGAGAGACAGGATACATGTTTTCTTTCATATTTGGAAGTTAAATTATAAATATATATGTAAACATACACGAGATGCTGTGCATGCATACATAATCATGTTAACTAAAGTATGGCATGTGCAAGGAAAGATTCCAATGATGTTAACTTTTTTAGACAGCTAACTTAAGAGTTTAAACAAAATAAATACCAGTATGCTGGTACTTGTGGAGTTGCACGGGGCGAGGGGGGGTGTTGTGTCAGGTAGGGGAGGGGGCGTGCAGCGGGTGTCAATAGGAAGGAAGGAAGATGAATGGAGAGCAGAATGGTATGCTAATGCCATCATAATATTCCATGTATATATACGACAATAAATCCAGGTAAATTGAGGGGCATGGGAAAGGGAAAGGTTATGGGAGAATGATAAAAGGGATGACATTGATGAAGATACATTATACTCACAAATGGACATGCTCAATTGAAACCTTTTTGTACAGCAACTTGAGAATAATTTTTAAAAATAAAGTGAATAGACTCTGAAAAAAAAGAAAGAAAGAAATGCAAATCAAAATAACGTTGAGATACCACCTTACCCCATTTAGAATGGCTGTAATCAAGAACTCTAATAACAACAGATGCTGGAGGGGATGTGGACAGAAGGAAACCCTACTGCATTGTTTGTTGGAGTGTAAACTTGTTGAAGCACTTTGGAAAGTAGTATGGAGGTTCCTAAAAAAACTCCACATAGACCTCCCCTATGACTCAGCAACCCCACTTTTGAGCATTTACCAAATGATCACAAACAAGACCATACTAAAGCTACCAGCACAACGATGTTTATGGCAGCATTATTCACATAGCTAAGCTATGGAACCAACCTAGATGCCCCTCAGTAGAAGAATGGATCAAGAAAAAGGGGTATATATAGAGATGATATAAATATCATCTCTCTCTATATATATGATATATATAGACGATATATACATATATCTACATGCAGATATATCTATATATCCCATATGTACATCATATATATAACACACACAAACATATACATATATGTATTACATATACATATATATATATAGCACATATATACCACATTTAAATGCGGTATATAAAATGGAATTCTATGCCTCCATCAGAAAGAATGACACTGCTCCATATGTAAGGAAATGGAAAGACTTGGAAAAAATCAAAATAAGTGAAGGAGGTCATGCTCAAAGAAACATAGGTCACATGGTTTCCTTTATTTGCAAAAACTAGTATAGATCTAGAACAAATCGAAGTGGTCAAAAGCTATGTACACATGACCCTGTAAGATGATACTAAGCGTAATGAACCCCAAGGTAGGTACTCAAGTGGTTTTTCTCTTTGTTGCTGTTGTTTTTAATGTACTACATGAGTTTTTGTTTATTTTGGATGTTTTCCCCCAATGGTATAGCCTCTGTTTTCACTGTATTTGATTCTGGTGCCCTGCATCTTATATATACATCTTTTATTCTAATTTGTGGTGGGGAACAAAAATAACACAATGCTGAAATAAGGACAAAGGCTAACCCATTGTAACAATGAGATGTACAAGACATTATGTTGAAAAGGAACTTTACAGCTTGGGGATGGGGAGAAGTTTGGGCAGTGGGGCGGGAAGGGATGGTAGTGGAAAAACAAAGGAAGGGGAAATAATGCTTGGTAAATGCACTCATTACCTTACTCATATAACTGTAACACCTTTGTATAGGATCTTTACAATAAAAATATATATTAAAAAGATATATGAGTTACTTAGTAATGCCAATATATTTTTTACTTTTTTTCCATATCACTAGTAAAATCTTAAACCTTACTCTAGGCCAGTATAGGAAACAAAAATATTTCTCATTTAATTGAGCACCACTTAAAACCTACATTGATTTGATTATCAGTGTGTTTCTGTTGTTAGGCGTGGATTTATTAAGAGAGGAACATTCATTCTAGCATCTTTATCATTGTGTTTCCTAAGGGACAAGTGAGTAATATATAAATTATAAGTTCAAGCTAATCTGAGTCCTGCACACAAGTGGTGTATGCTTAGACTACTGAAGTTGGATATGGGCTGGATCATCTTGCTTTCTTCTTCCTGAATTGTTTTGTGGGTAATATATCCTATATAACGGAAAAGTAAATGCAATATTTCTTCAAATAGTGGTATTTTAAGGAAAACACAATTTTAACTGTGTTAAGGTTTCACAGTGTCTTTGAAACCTTTTTTGCCTAATTAGTTAATGCCATTTTTTTTGTATAGTTGAAACTTGAAGGAACATATTTTCTGAGCAGAAAATTCCTTGTGTATTTCATTTGGCTCTGACCATATGTGCAATAGTTATTTGGAAATAACATTTCATTTCTATGTGATTTTTGGTAGGAATTTAATGCTTGCCACAGAAGTTTTAAGATGTTTCTCATATGCTGTGGCTGATAATTACATGTGAATACCTAGAAGCAGGGGAAAGAATGTATTCCCTTATAGATTCTCTGAATCATCTGTGAACTACTGATTCTTCAGGTCAAGAACACAAATTATAAAATTTCTTACTCAAAAATATATTGTTGACAATGTTCTACTCTTAGAATTCAAACTAAATCACAACAAATTCTTGATTTAGTTATGACTCTTAAGTAGGAGATTGAAGAAATTGCTAATGGAAATAAAATTCTCCTCAGCAATATATATCATGAAACAAATTAAATAGCCAATTACAAAATTTAAGAAAATATTTATTACCAAGTTTTGATGTATGCATAATGTTTATGTAATTTGTGGAAAATGAGGCATATGCATAAATCAAAATGTTATCAATATGTTTCTTATATTACACATTTTTAAAAATGTATAATTTATAACTTGAGTAAAAAGAAATAACATCATATAATTGGATATTGAAAATTTGTCTCTGAAGATATTTTTTCTACCATCAAATATGCTTCATGTATGTACTTATATATGCTATTGTATAATCAGAATATTATGCACAGATGTCAAAAAATAAATAGTTCTCTAAAATCATGAACATTTGACATTGTAAGAGTTTACCTGACAATAGCTTTTGAATCATTATTTACCCTGTAATTATCTATCACTGACTACATTAAAGAAAATTATAATGTACTTTTCAAGTGATAGACAATCAAGTAAACAAATAAGGCAAGCATACTTGAGGTCCTGAGTACAGATCTCAGTATTAGCAAAAAATGAAATTGAAGAAGCATTCCATACTTGTGTTTCAAAATGGATATATTTCAAAAGAGGATACAACATTCCTACATTGCTTTACTCCAATGTTTATATTTTGTATGCAAACATACAAAATACAGAATAAGATAAATAATAGACAATGTGCACATTATGCATTCATTTTTGGACAGTGTGATCTGTGTACATAAAGATGGCACTGTTAGAATGAAGCAGGTGCCTATCTGCATAGGAGAAATCCATCATCAGCTTCCAGTGAATCCAATAGTGTTGCATGCTTGCATTGATTTTCAGGCAAACTTCCCAGTCCTTCTAGTTACTGGTAGGGCTTCTTTTTGAGAAGGAAGGGTGAGCAAGATTGAAAACGTGGTAAGTAAAGCCGATGTTTGAAATCAACGTTGTAGAACATGAAATCCCCACGTAAAGTTAGCTAACATAGTTAATCATAGCCAAAATGTTTTTTTGTTTGTTAAGAATGTCTCCATTTTTGGGTTACTTAACTTGTGGTCCTAAGTTGTACTTCTTGTATTGGTTCCCTCCAGACAGACTGTTATGGAAAGAAGAGATGGACCTCTACAACTTTACGATGGTGACTCGGTTTATTCTCCTTAGACTCTCTGACCACCCTGAGATGCAATACCCCCTCTTTGTGGCATTTTTCATCGTCTATCAGACCACCTTTGTGTGTAACGGGACCATAATCCTGGCCATTACTATAGAGCAAAAGCTTCACACTCCCATGTACTTCCTTTTAGCAAATCTGTCCCTGTTAGACATATTTTGTCCTTCAACTACAGTTCCCAAGATGCTCCAGAACCTCTTGACGGAGGACCACAGCATTTCTTTTGTTGGGTGTGCCTTACAGCTTTATTTCCTTGTGGCCCTAGCTGGGACTGAGGTCTTCCTGCTCGCTGTCATGGCTTATGACCGGTATGTGGCGATATGTTTTCCCCTACGTTATTCCCTTATCATGAGCCATGTTCTATGTGCTCAGTTATTGACTGGAACTTGGATAGCTGGTTTTCTTCACTCTCTTCTCCACACAGTGACCACGTTCAGCCTGTCTTTCTGCAAGTCTAATCAAGTTAGCCAGTACTACTGTGATATCCCGTCAGTGGCGGCTCTGTCTTGTTCTTCTACTTACCTGGAAGAAATGCTAGTTTTAGTGATAGGAGGTATCTTTGCAACTACTGCCTTCTTGATTACCTTGATCTCCTATACATACATCATTTCCACCATTCTGAAGATCCAATCAGCAGAAGGGAAGCGCAAAGCCTTCTCCACATGTGCCTCCCACATAATTGTGGTTAGCTTGTTCTATGGCACTGTTATCTTTACCTACCTCCGCCCCTCCTCCAGTAAACATTCCCCTGCCAGAGACAGACTCATCTCCTTGCTGTATGGTGTAATCACTCCAATGTTAAATCCTATCATCTACAGCCTGAGAAACACAGAGGTTAAAGTAGCCCTCAAAAGGTTGTTATGTTGCTGAACATCTCACAGAATGAAGTTTTAAAACTGTCTGCTTTGTCTTCAATCTTAGCATTTCCCATTGTGTGTGTGTGTGTGTGTGTGTGTGTGTGTGTGTGTTTGACCAGAGAGTTATTAGCTCAGTGAGTTATCATTTGCTTGCTCTTTCTTTCACGAAATAGAAAGAGAAATATTTCATATACAGATAATTACTTATCTAGTACAGCAGTTTTGGTCTATAATTATCTATTTTCTAATATATAGTTTCCTAATTCTGTGCATCCCAATTTCTTCTGAAATACAGTTTCTAGTTTCTAATCTCCTAATGACATTTATTGTGTATTCATTGTTTCAGATTCTCAGTTCACTCTATAACATTCTGTATCTTCTTCTTCAATGACTTGTATTCCTATTATCACTAAATGATGTGATCACACAACTGGTGAAATGCTTTGCTATTATTCAACATTACCTTGTATTTTCTCTTCTGTATTGTTACTGTTGTTTTTCATCTTCAATCTTTCCAAATTATGTGTTTAAATCATGTTTGAATTACAATGTAAATGTAGCTCTAAAACTACACCATAGGCTGTTCTAAGTACTTTTCTTTGGAATCAGTTACATTTTATAAAAGTTAGTATCATCCTATCCTTGATCTTTACATCATTCTGCCACAACTAGTCATCTTTGTCCTGGTTAATTATTTGTAATTTAATTTTAACTGAAGCTGGAGACTCTATACAAACTTGACATTAAAATGATATGTTAATATTGTCCTACATATAGTAACACTAGAGTAATGTAAATGTTTTCTAGATTTTAACTTGTTAATTTTCAATAATAGTGATTGCATATGTTATGAAAAAGCAAATATTCATTTTATAAATATACCTAATGGCATTAGTTAAATACAAAATAAATAAATTCTTTAAAATCAAATAATTCTTAATTGCATATTTGCTATCCAAACATTTAATATTTTCCACTTATTTTTACTATTTTATTATAGGAATTATAGTTGCAACACTCAATTATTTAATTTTATGAAAAGGCTTTATTTTTATTTTTTACATTGTGTTTCTATAATTCATATAGTTGTATTACAGTTACATGAATCAGGTACAATGAATTCATTTCTTTTTGAACCATGTCTTCTTTCCATTGCTCATTCCCATTCCTTCCCTCCTATCTTGATCCATTAGATGTCCAGTTCATTTTTTAGGTAGTGTCTGGTGAGTATCTCCGTTGTGTTTGTTTATCCTTGTTCCTCCTCTTCAGTGCTCTCCCTTATTTTCCTCAATACAAACAAACAAGACACAAGGAAAAGAAAACAAAAACAGCAACAATGGCAACTAAAGAATGTCTTTTATTTCCTTTTCTTGGATTTCATTTCATAGATTATTATTTTGTATCATCATCTGTCCATAGCAGTTGAGCCTTTGTCCACCACTAGTATGCATAGACTCCTTTGGCCTCCTATATAATTTATCATGGGTTAGTTTTATGTATTTATTTTATTCATTCAGTATGTTTGCTTGTAGATTTATAGGAACATCGTAGTTATGACAAATGAGGGAAACAGTATAGCCTTTATTTCTTTGGCTCTGGTTTACTTTGCTTAGTATAATAGTTTCCAAGTCTTTGTATTTCATTGCAAATGATAAAATATCCTTCTTTCTAATGGATTAGTAATGTCCCTCAGGATCAAGAAAATGTGATATATGTGTCTATATTTCTATCTGTCTATCTATCTATCTTTCCACTGATGGACATCTAGGTTCATTCTATATCTTGGCCATGGTAAAGCATGCTGCAATAAACATGGTTGTGTGTTGTGTCTATGGCTTTAGTTTGGCCTGATTTGTGGTTCATTGGATAAATGACCAGGAGTGGAGTTGCTGGGTCAGGGAAAAGCTCTGTGTTAAGATTTTTAAAGAACCTCCCAACTGCTTTCCAGAGTGGTTAAACAAGTTTACATTACCTCCCTTTAGGCCACATCCCTGCCAGCATTATTGGTTTTCCTGATAATGGCATTTTAACTAGAGTGAGGAAGAATCCCAATGTTGTTTGATTTGCATTTTTTTTATAGCCAGAGATGCTGAACACTTCATGTGTCTGCTGGCCATTCTTTCTTCTTCTTCTGTGCCCATATCTTGATTGGGTAGTGGAGTTTTTGAGGGTTTAGTTTCTGGGGGTTAATTCTTGAGATCTAAGTATATTTTAGATATGAGGCCCTTGTTTTATATCTAGCTAGTGTCTTCACTAGATATTGCCATTTTGTGGGCTTTCTATTTATCTTGCTAACTGTGTCTTTTTTCATGCAGAAGCTCTTCAGTTTGATATATAGCCATGCAACCAGTCTTTCTTAAATTTATTGTGATTCTGGGTCTTTGGCCACATTACCATTTCCTGTAATATTTTCATGTTATCTGGCCTTACATTGAGGTCATTGATCTACTTAGAATTGTTTCTGGTTCAAGGTGATATGGGGTATATAGCTTTAGTTTTCTGCATGCAAATAGCCACTTTTTCTAGCACCATTTGTTGAAGAGGCTTGTTCTGCCAATGTGTATTTTTGGCTGGCTCCTTTATCAAATGTTAAGTGGCTATATGTTTATGGGCTTGTTTCTGGGTCTTCTATTCAGTTGCATTGGTGCTCAGGTGTACTCTTATGCCTGTACCAAGGAGACTTTATTACTGCGGATTTGTAATAAAACTTGAAGTTTGGTATTCATATTCCTTCTGAGTTTTTCTTCCTGCTAAAGATTTTTGATATCACGGGTCTTTTATTATTCTATGTGAATCTTTGATTTCTCTGTTTCTTTGAAGAAAGTTGTTGGGATGTAGCTGAGTGTTGCATTGAATTTGAGTATTGCTTTGGGCAAAATTACCATTTTTTACTACTTTCTTTCAATCACAACCAGGAACATGGGAGGTTTTTTCATTTCCGTAGGTTTTCTTCAATTTCTTTTTTCAGAGTATTGAAGTTTTCATAATAGAGGTCTTTCACATCTTTTGTAAACTTAATTCCCAAGTAATTCATTTTTTTGAAGCTATTAAAAATGGAGTTGCTTTCCTTATTCAACTATCACTCTTCTCATTGTTGGCATACAAGTAGGCTTCTGATTTGGAGGATTAGCTATTTTGCCAAATTTTTAATAAAATCAAGTAGCTTGGGTGAGGAATTTGTAGGGTTCTTTAAGTACTTTCTGATGTGATCAGCAAAGAGGGATAGCTTCGCCTGTAATTTCCCTTTTTAGATACTCTTTATATGTTTCTCTTGCCTTATTGATTTTGCCAGAAATTCCAGGACTTCATTGAAGAGGAGTGGAGAAAGTGGGCATCCTTTTCTTGTTCCTGATTTTGAAGGGAATGGTTTGAACTTTTTACCTTTAAGTGTAATTCTGGCTGAAGTTTTGTCACATACAGCCTTTATTATATTGAAAAATGTTCCATGGATTCCTAACTTCTTCAGAGCTTTTACCATAAAGGGATGTTGAATTTTCTCAAATGCTTTTTTCTCTATTGTTTTGAATATATGAGGAATATTTTCTAGAATAGATCATATATTAGGTCATAAAACAATTCTTACAAAATTTAAGAAAACTAAACTCTCAAATATCTTTTCTTATTACAAGGACTAAAAGTTGAACTTGAAGACCAAAAATTAATGTAATAAATACATGGAAAGTGAAAAAAATAATGTTGAACCACGTATTGAAATAATGAGAAAGTTTTACCTTGCATCATATGTAAAGTTAAATTCAAAATAGATGGAAGATTTATATTTTAAATTGGCAACTTGACAAGTCTAAAAGAAACTTGGGGCAGGGGGAACTTACTGGTATTGGTCTGGGCAATTATTTTTAAATAATAGGCTAAACAAAATGAAATAATAGATACTCGAAAGACAGTATGTTGGAAATGAACTTTACAACTGGTGTGGGGGGGTGGTTACTGATGGAGGAAAAGTAGGACAAAAATAAGGGAGGGCATAACAATGTTTGACAAGAAATGAACTCATTACCTTAAGTATGTAACAATAATCTTCTGTATATGATCTTGATAATAAAGTTATTTTAAAAAATGAAATAATATACAGACAGCTAATAGACAGGTGGGATTAGAATATACTAAAAACTTTCTAAGAAATGAAAAATGTAGAAGTAAAAAATAGCTTTTGGAATGCTATAAAGTATGTGTAATTCTTAGAAATTAAGAAGAATCAATACATAGAATATAAGAAAATGATTTGATTCAACTGAACTACACTGATCCACTTTCACAAGGTAGAGAGTATTCAGTCATTTTTCTAAACACTGAGAATTCATCAGTGTGCCTATAAAATTCCTTAATATTATTAGTTATCAAGAAAATGAAAATCCATACTACAATGAGATATTGCCAAATGTGTTGCAATGAATGTGATCTAACACACACACACACACACACACACACACACACACACAAACCCAAAAATAATGTGGGTGAAAATGGGGAAAATGTGGAATAAACCATAGTGCCATATGGAAGAGAATAATTTGGTATGCTGAAATTGAAATCCTCAAGTTTGCAATGTCCACTACTAGATACGTAATCAGTGGGAGTGAAATAAGAGTCTTTAAGTGATATTCACCTTCCCATTTCAATTGCATAATTATTCAAAAGGAAAGAGATGTGCACAGTCTTCGTGTGTACTCTCAGACGAGTGTAGTAAGGAAATGTGAAATATACCTCCTGGAATGTCATTTGACCTTAAATTCTGGTATTAATGACAACATGAAACTGCATGCTCCAGAAAATAAACTAGGTACAGAGAGGCAATTGCTACATAATCTCACTTTTGGGAGAATATGGAATAGTTCTCAAGACTGAGGTGGTTACCAGATACTAACTGGAAAGGAAAATGAAGAGATGATGGTGAAGGTTTAGAACATTGCCATTAGTCATCATTATGTAGGTGTCTAGTAATACAATGTTCAACAAGGAGTGTAAGGAATACTAATTTTTTTGTGGCCTTGA